GTGTGCCCGCCGACCGATCCTTTTAGGTTTCGTAGATTTTTGAAAACCATTTTTTGCAACATGTCGACAGATTTGGAAGCTTTGAGCATCTACAAAACTTTCTCGACGGGTTTGGTAAAACACCTTAGTTTTTCAGTGTACTAAACGCATAGCGAGCAAACGAACGTTTTTCTCTACACATACATATATGAACGAAGAGCACTGCGAACTGCAGCGCCCCTATATATCGGACATTAGCGTTTCTGGCATCACACTTTCTTCAACTCAATTTAACACGAAGCCAACTTTGCATGCATAATGTTCGCGAAAGCTATGCCGAAAATTTTCACCTTCGCTTTCCTACCGAAACCAGGCAACTCATCGCTATTTACACGATAACCCCTCAACACCCTTCCCTGCACCCCCAGAGAGATGATGCCGCACATCACCCTCCCCATCGAACAAACCACCCTGCACCCTCCCCCCAGAGAGATGATGCCGCACATCACTCTCCCCGTCCAACACCCCAACCTGCACCCTCAGAACATTGGAATAATTGAAAACTCGAATACTCGAACTAACACTCGAATTCAAGTTTCGAGTTGTACATGTATGAGGATTTTGATCCCGTTCCCATCGGGACCAAGACCGGGACAGTGCCACAGACTTTACTGTGTGCTATCCATAACATTCAGGGTTTTTATTTTGGATTAGACATCAGTAATGATAAACCATAACATACGTAAAAATACGTTTCTACAGATAATTATCTTCTTTTTTTCGAATTTTATGCAACGCCATTGAGTCTGAAATTGTCGTAAGTAATGAATGCGTCTCATTCGATACATAGCGCCATCTCGCGCTCGACAAATCTAGATGTTTTTCCAAGATCCATTCTGATCTAAGATTCGCCTCTGGAGAAAAATTAAAAAATACACACCTCTTTAACAGTTTAAAAATTGGAACATACTTAGGGTTATCGAAAAGTAGTGACGGAGGGTCTGTTTTTCCTTATTTTCCAATATCGAAAACTATTTTTTTTACTGAACGATAGAGCTTTTTTCGCTGTATCTTTCTATGCTATTTGATCGATATCTAACTGAGGTCAAATCAATAAAATTTCGACAAAAACTGTGTTTGTCGACTTCTAGCTGGTAGCAACAGTGGATAAAATCATCTGCACGTGTTGTCCTCTCATTTTTTTCCATTTTCTCTTGCTCTTTTTGTCATCATTACTTGCTTATCTCGCGAACTAACTAGCCAGCCATACAAATGCATACAGGAGTGCATCTGTCGTATTGTTTCTGTGTGAGGGAATCGTTTCTTTGTGCATACTGGATAAAGTCAGCAACCAGACTAGAGTGCTGAGTCCTGACGATATTTTCATATTCAAATGTGCACAGAAAATTTCCGTTTCTACATCAAAGCGGCTACTGCACTTAATATCCAAGCAAAGATTATTTTTGATGAATTGTATTCTGTCTATGGTGATCAAGCTCCTTCTTTCAGAACAACGAAGAGATGGTCCAAGCTGTTTCGTGAAGGTCGAGAAGAACTTAAAGATGAACCGCGATCCGGTAGACCAGCCACTGAAACAACACCTGAAAATATCGAACAGATTCGCCTTCTTGTCAACGATGATCCTTATCTTACAATCGAAGAACTGCAAGAGCAAACCAATTTAAGCAATGGTACGATTCATCGAATCCTCACAACTCACTTGAACGTCAGAAAGGTCACTGCACGGTATGTACCAAAAGATCCCACCGATGCGCAGCGAGCAGAACGAGTTCGAATATGTGAAGAAAACTTACAAAAAGTTCAGCAGGAAACATGGCGTTTATGTGATATCATGACTGGCGACGAGTCGTGGTTCCGTCATAAATAACTTGGTCGAAAGTCATCAAATGCAGCGTGGATTAGAAGAGGAGATCCTCCACCAACTGTAGCTCGACAAAGCAGGTATGCGCCAAGGACCTTATTAGCCATCTTTTTCCAATCGAATGGTCCTCTACTCATTCATCGTTTGGAACGAGGGCAAACTACCGATCACGAATACTACATCGACAACCGTTTACGTCCTGTCGTCGATGAAATTAAGCGCCAAAGACCTTCATACGGAACTCGTGGCATGAAAATTCATCATGATAATGAAGAACCACATGTTCATTAAGAGGTTTTCACCTATCTTGAATCGGAAGGTCTCACAGTTATACCGCATCCACCTGACTCTCCTGGTTTATCGCCATGTGATTTTTGTTTGTTCGATTTAATCAAAGAAAATCTGACCGATCAAAGCAACTCACAATCTTTGTACGACGCTGTGGTCAATTTCATGCATTCTGTGAACAAAGAAGAATATAAAAAACGTTTGAAAAGTGGGTCGAACGGATGCAGTTATGCGTAGATAACCAAGGTGATTATTTCGAACATTTGATCAAATAAACAACTGATAAACCCATTCTTGTATTCCTTTGTTCTATCACTGATCCCTTGGAATCGTCATCAAATAGATGGATGGCTAGTTAGTTCGCGAGATAAGCAAGTAATGATGACAAAAAGAGCAGGAGAAAATGGAAAA